CACTTCTCTCCTCTTCCCTTCCCCCCTCCTCTGCACCCAGGCACCCCTCCTACTTCTCTCTTGGCTGCGGGTAATTTTCAAAGACATTTTTGGAAAGAGGCTGCACGTGAGTTTTTACATCTCACGTGACAAAAGCCGAGGCATCACCTGCCTGTGCAATGTGAGTCCTAGGGTGTTCTCACTGGCTGCTCGTCCAACTGAGAGCTTCAGACTGACGGGGCTGAAACACCCGGGGCAACTCAGACTTTGATGAAAGATCTGAGAGAAGGGAAAGAATCTCGTCTCAAAAAGAAGGAAGTGGGGAAAAAAGGGCTAAGGCAGAATTTCCCCCAAGGGTTTCCGTCTTCTTCAATGCCTAAGGTTCATGCCTTCTGTTTGACCTTTGTCACACCTGCTGCCTGGCTCTTCCACTAAGCTTCCCCTTCCTTCCGAGCCCCAAGCAGTCTGCCACTGTCCCCTTCTCCCTCCCCTCCCCACGAATGACTTCAGGCCATCACGGGACTGGGAGGGCCTCCTTGCTCCCCTCTGGCTTGGCAGAGAATCACAAACACTGGTGGAAAACTGATGGCCTTGTGTCAGGAAGACAGTGTTCTTGTTTTTCTGCCACCAAACTGGCTGGGTGACCGCCTGCAAGCCACTGAACCTACTTTCCCTCTCTGTGAAATGGGGCCACCAAGACCTACCTTTCTTAACTCAGACATTGCGGTATGAGAAGGCTGACTGGGAAAATGTAAAGGATTAGCCAAATATAAAATATTTCTAGGAAGTGAGATGTATTTTAAAACACATCAAAATATTATGCTAAGTGAAATGAACTAGATACAAAAGACTACACATTCTATTTTTCTATCTATATACAACATCCAGAAAAGCAAATCTATAGCAACAGAAAGCAGATAGGTGGCTGCCTGGAGCTGGCTACCAATGGGCATCAGAGATTGTTTGGAGCTGGGGTGATGGGCATGGAAATTTTTGAAAACTGGATTGTGATGTTGGTTACATAATAATTACTATAAATGTAATGCTTTATAAAAGTCACTGAAGTGTACACATAAGATGGGTGAGTTTTATGATGTGTAAATTATAACTCATAAAGGAGCTCAGTAACTGTGATTCCTATTGTCTTTGTTTTACTGTCTTATGATCAACTGCTGTGGTGTCTGTAGGTGCTGTACTTTCAGTGTGTGCCCCTAAGCCTCACATGAAACCAAGTGGGGCCAACCAAGGCTCCGAAGGGTGAACTGGCAAGGCTGGAGCTAGCCCGAGGCTCTCTGAGTTTAAAGCCTAGGCAGGCACCTTCTTCATCATGTTCTTTGGGATTAAATTTTCTAATTCCTCTCGACATTATTTCCTTGTTTAGATATGGTTTCTCTATCTGATGCCTATAATACTATAAATAGCTATGCTAGGTTAATAATGAATGAATGAGTAACAAATTCAATGGGCCAACGCCCTCGCAGTGGAGCAGTGTGAATCTTTAAATACAGCCGGTATGTGGGGAGTCGCTGACCCTCCACCATCCCAGCACCTGCTCTGAGCCAGGTCCCGGGCTAGGCCCTGGAGCCATAGCTGCGAACCAGACACGGAGCTGAAAGTCTCACCGGATAGAGAGAAATCTCAGAAGTCAGTGCACGAAGTGTGCAGGTCACCCTAGGAGTATACATCATGGGGCTCCACCCCAGTGTGCAGTCAGGCGAGGCCTCCTGAGCAAGTGACAACAGAGGCAAGGTCTTTAGGGAGCTTGCGAGGCACTTAGGGGTATGGCCCTGAGACCCCAAGTCACTGGGGAGTAGGTGTGGGCTAACTGTGAATAGGAAGAGACTTCTGGCAAAGGAGAGCTCTCTGAGAGCCACAGAAACCAGGTGGGGGCGCTAATCTGGGCCTTGAAGGCAGGCAGGATTTGTTGCCATAAAAGAGAACAAAGACCAAAAAGCAGAACCCATGAAATACAGGCTGATGGCAGTTCTGGATACATTTTAGGAACATAAGGTCCTGGGATAGGGCGAGCAGAGCTTTGTAAGACGCAAACACCAGAAATCATTAAAGTATTTTTCTAAAGGAGGTCCTCATTTTTGTTGTTGTTGTTGTTTCAATTAAAGGCTTTCTGTTTTGGGGATTTGACACAATGGTTAGTGCACATACCGCTTAGGAGCCCGCATCTCATATCACAGTGCCTGGGTTTCAGTCCTCACTCCACTCCTCTCCAGCTTCCTGCTGATGCACACCCTGGGAGGCAGCAGGTGATGGCTAAAATATGTGGGTCCCTGCCACCCACAGGGGAGACCCAAATGGAGTTCTGGGCTCCTGGCTTCAACCTGGCCCAGCCTCAGATGTTGTAGGCATTTAGGGAGTGAGCTGCCATATGGGAGATGTCTGTCTCTGACTCTCTTCCTTTCAAAAAATAGAATAAACAAACATCCTGACTGTAAAAAGACAGAAAAAAAGGGTTTCTGCTGTGTAATAACAGCCCTTGTCCTGAGTGACCATGAGTCAGCAGGAGCCACGGCACCCCTGCCAGCTTGGTTCCCAGGAGGTGAGCGAGCTGGGTGGGCAGGATGTCACTGTCACCTCCCCTCTCCAAACAGAGGGAGAGGACAAGGAAGACCAGAGCTTGTGAAGACGGTGAGCAATTGCGTAAGAAATGAGTCAAGGACAGATTTTTTAAAATACTCTTTCATTTTCCAGGAGATTGTCTCGAAGCAGAACCAGCCCCCCAATCACCTGTGCTTGGCTCTGCAAGAGAAGGGAGTGTGTCAGGGTGTGAGCGTGTGAGCATGAGTGTGTCAGGGTGTGAGTGTGTGAGCATGAGTGTGTCGGGGTATGAGTGTGTATGGAGGGGTGAGGGATGCGGGGAGAGAGAGAGAGAATGCACATGGCGGTGCTGGGAAGGAGGCGCCTCCACCTCACTCCACTCACTGGGAACCACTGCCCGTTCATGGTGGGGGCTGGGTGACATGGTAGAAGCGAACTTCATAATAAGACAGGCTGGTGACATCTGGAGGAGTTCCAAGCTCCCAGAGGCATGGGTGTGGCCATGGTGGTGACAGACAGGAAGGTGGGCAGTGATAAGAGGAAGAGAGCCTGGACTGGGGTGGTGGCCACTGCAATGGAAGAATCAATTCGGAGGAAAGCAGCAGCAGGCTTTGGAAGGAACACAGGTGCTGTCAGCCCTGCAGCCGGGGGCTGGCACGCGTGCAGAGGAGCAAGGAGCCCAGCAGAGGAGGGAGGTGGTGAGCCCGCAGTTTGGTGAGGGAGAACCAGACGCCTTGGCAGCGGGGGCCGGCAGTTCAGACACAGATGAACCCTGCAGAAGCGCAGCAGCTTCTCTCTGCTGAGCACTGTGTGCCTGACACTGCCTCAGTTTCCCAAGCACAACTTCAGAATGCTCCTGTCACCTGGAAGCCAGGAGCCCTGGGATTCCACCCTGGGTCTACCTGGCTCAACACCCAAGCTCTTTGCCCCCCAAGACATCCGGACAGAGCTGAGGGCTGCAAGCTAACCCCTGGGGACTTCTCAGGGGATGGGAGACAGCAGAGTGCCCAGTGCAGGACCTTGTCGGCCAGGGGCCAACAGGCCTGGGGATGCGGGTCCCCTCAACACAGGTGCCACCAGACAGTGCATGGGGTGACGAAGGGCCTTCTGTCTGTTCCCTTTGTTAAGAAATTCGGAAATGCCAGTCATTATTTCACTATGCTTGTCTCAGTTTATCTTATTGGAACAGATGAAAAAGCAAACCGCAGCTGGCAAATAGTTTACCTGAAGCTGTCCCAGGAGGAGAGGCGGGCTTGGAGGAACTGCTGGGCTTGGTCAATCTGTTCACCACAGGAGCTTGAACAGACAGACAGATGCGCATAAATACACACACAGCACAGGCTACGCGCACCTGCCCTGGAGGGAAGCCCCGCTGGGGACGCCTCTGTGGAACCCACAGACCATTACACAAGACTCTGAACAGGAACACCTGGAGAGTGGCTAGGGCAACCAAATTATTTTATGATGGATATTTTGTTGCAGTCAATACTAGCTCTGGGGGAGGGCAGGTTCATTTGCCAAATAGGAGATCTAGGAGATGGAAGACTTTCTGGTTTTGTTTTTTATCGGGAGGGAGTATTGAGCCTGGAAGTGGACGGCCCCATTTCCTCAGCCACATGCAATATGCACAATTTATCTTGGATTTTGTTGGGGGAAGGAGGAAGGGATTTGCTGATTGTGGTAATGGGTGGGCTGGGAACTCAGGTGGGGCTGCCAAGGATCAACTGCAGGTGATCTTCCGGGCGCACAGAGAGGGCTGGTTCCTGCCGGCAGAGGGAGAGCTGAGCCCTGCTAACTTGCGGTCAAGGTTGTTAGAGGAGCAATGGCACCTAAGAAGCATCTCCCGGATGGGATTATGTTCTCCATGGTGACCATGTCCTGGATGAACACTGTTCCCTTGCTTGACCAGGGGTCACGTGGCACTGGCTGCTCGGACCATTTGATGGTCATAGCACTTGTCATCCCATGAAGGGTTTACAAAGGGATTGTTCCTCGTAGGTCTGAGGTACCACTAACTGGAAAGAACCAGGACACACTGCATATTTCAACTCTTATGCATTTTTTCAGTCATCTGAAGCAACTGTTCTTGGTACAGCATTTAAAAGATCAATGTCAGACTTGTGACCTTCGTATTAGCTTTCATGAGAAATCTACTCTAAGCCAGGGCAGCTGAGGATAATAATACAGGTGCTTTCATCATTAGAGACAGGTGTATTAAGTCACAGGATAGTTAAGAGGCAGGGGGGTAGGGCTGGGAGACCCAAGGAATGGGTCTCTGCTGTGGCCAAAGAGGAGAGAGGTCTGGGCAGGGTCACCTCTGAGCCCCTACTGCTTACCACCGAACAGAGCCGCATGTCCCCAGCAACGGCTAGAAGTCTTCAAGGGCTTAAACGGCAAATGCTCACCTTTATCCGATGGGGGTGAACTGCTTTCTGTGGGGTGAATGTAGTTCTCGTCATTGTCTTCCAGAGGGATCACGTAGTCGGCCTGAGAAGCACAGAGACGAATGGGCAGAATGCTGCACGCTCAGTTCCACGTGTAAGAGGGGGTGAGTTTTAAAAAGCTTTACTGAGATGTAATTCACATTCTATAAGGCTTTGCTATGTAAAGCATATTAGTAAGTTATTCAGAGTTGTGCAACCATCATGATCTAATTTTAGAACAGCTCTCACCCCTCAAAAGGAAGCTCACATTAGAGACTCTCCACCCCGCTGTGCCCTGTCCAGTCAACTACTTCTGCCTGTACAGATTTGCGCTGAAACTAACCCGATAGCCACAGCTGAAATGAGGCTGACTCTCCAGCACGGATTACAGGGAGGCTGAGTGGCTGCGGGATCCCTGTGGGACACTCTTGGTCCCTTCGGTCCACCTCTCCGGGTTGTCTTGGAGCCTGGGGGACACCTTGTTAGAGCCCAGCTTCCCTTCCAGCGGCTGGTTCCTACGAAAGGAGAGGCTGAGCCCCCAGGAGGTGGGGCCAATAAGGCCCCCAGCCAACAAAACTTCCCAGCACCTTCGACCTGTACGCGGAACGCCGGCACTCACACGCAGCGACAACACCCCAGCTGCTGCAGGGACACTGGCAGCACCACGCCCCAGCCGAAGCGTCCCGAGCCCTGTCTCACCACTCGGACTCTGTACTTTCTCTGGACTCTCAGCTTCACACATGTTTCGTTCTGCATTCGTTGATTATAGTAGAAGCCGTTTTATCTCCCGTGTAATGATTTACTAGTCATTGAGACATTTTTATTCCAAAGAGCAACGACAGAAAAGAAGGACTTGAACCAGTCCACACAGATCTTGCTGTAGTGTCAGCCCCCATCTCCCGGATAAAGGGTTTGTGGAGAGGGGATGCATGATGTGTATTTCCGGTGTTGCAACTCAGTGCTTTAAAGTTGTGACTTGCCCAAGTAAGTAAATGATCAAGAAACATCACAACTTATATCCCAGCAAGACCACCTTGGCCCTGCTGCCATGTTTTAACTTAGACCCCATTATTAAGAGCCAACCACAAACACCTGGCTGTAGCGACATCAGTGACAGAGCTTTAGAAGCCAGGCAGATCATTCTACTACTGTGACCTACATATATTAGAAATCCTTCTTCAATTATTATAATGGCTTGAACCAAAAAAAAGATTATTTTAAAAATCAGTTTCAATCAACCCCAGGGTTTAGATGTCTCAGTAGTAAGACACCAGCTTGTTTATTTGCCTCCCCTAGCCTACAGATTTGAAAAACAAGGAGTGCCACAAATTCATCTTATTTTCTCCTTCCCGTTGCTTGTCATACTCAATTACTTATCACATCATTTTGATCAGCTTTTAAATACCTACCTAAGCGATATAGACATTATTTTATTGAGTTCTTTTTAAAAAAATGTATTTGGCAGAAAGACACAGAAAGATAAAGCAAGCTCCCCTCTGCTGGTTCATGCCCCTCATTGCCTGCAATGGCTGGGACTGGGCTAAAGTTGGAGACCAGGAACCCAATCCAAGTCTCCCACATGAGTGGCAGGGGCCAACCACTGTACCATCACCACCACTACCTCCTGGAGTCTACATTAGCAGGAAGCTGGAGCCGAAGTCAAGCTAGGGACTGAAGCCAAGTGTTCCAGATGGGATGTAGGCATCTTAGCTGGTGTATCAATCACTAGGCCAAGTGACTGCTCCTAATTCATTGAATTCTTACAATAATACCTACCCTCTAAGGTAGGTCTATTTATCCTAATTCTGCAGATGAGGACTTGAGAGAAGTCAAGTAAACTGTCTACAGTTCACATGAACCCAGAAGACTGGAACCCTAAAGGACCGGCACTGGGTTGGTTCTGGGCACCACAAAGACCCCGGAACCCATGCAGTGCGGGACACATTTGTGTTAACTGAAGAGCTGGTCTCTCCTCATGGGAGGCCGGAGAGGTGGTGCAGGGTGACTCTTTAGCACCCGGGCTCCCATCGCTCCTTGTATGGGTTCACACGCCGGCTCTACTCTTTTCCTCTGTGACCTTGGATAGATTGTTTTGTACTCATTTGTACATTAGTTTCCTCATCTGTAAAACAGGACGACAACATACACTTCCCAGGCTTGTTGTGCAGATTCCATGAGCTACTACACACAGTGCTGAGCACACTGTGGAGACCGGCACTGCTCGTGCCAGCTCTCCGTTTGGCTTGTGCCTCCGTGTTTTGCCGATAACCTGTAGAACAGAGCTGCACGTTTTACTTGTGCTGGTGTTTGACTTTTTCTTTTCCCTTGTAATGGTTTAGTTACACAGTAATGTGGCCTCTTTTTTTTTTTTTTTTTTTTTAACCCCTTTCTTATCTTGCCTCTCCATCTGCCCATTCCTGAATGCAGCCTCCTCCATACTTCTCCTTTCCCACTGGTGCAGGCCGGCCTGAGCTACCTCCCCAGGTTGCTAATAGCAACACTCTTCCTCACTCCCTGGGCCCCTCTCGGCTGTTCACAGAAATGGAGAGCCTGAGGGAATCCACAGCACTCATTTGCATTCTGTGTCTGAGTTTCTGTCTTCATATGGATTTACCAAATGCTGACAGAATGCACAGTGAGACCCTAGCAGCTGCTGTACCCGTGCTATTCCCTGCTTCGCTTCTCCTTACCACACTACCCCAATCCTGGACACACAGCCTCACCTCGCAGACTGACAGACCGAGGATGGACAGCCCATAACTGCCCCCTCTCAGGCTGCTGACTTTCTGATGTAAACTCTCCTTTAAGCAGGGGTCATCAACTAAACTGCAGACAGAGCAAGCTGGGGACAGGAGTGGGGGCATGTGCAGCATGAGGGGTGGCCATGCAGTGCAAGGGCTGGGGACAGTGAGAGATGGAGCTGGAGGGTTGCCATGGGGCTCCCCTGCTTTGAGTCCACGGATGGCCCGATGTGGCCAGGTCTTCAGTTTTCAGGAGAAACTAGAAAACTAGATTTTAAAGAATCTAGAGTCTAGCAGAAAAGAATCCAATATATCTCAAGCTCCTTTTGGGTGTCAGGCCCTGTGTATGGTATTATATATATGCTCTCTTATTAAGTCTTCAAAATAACTGGAAGAGATGAAAAATAGGCTGTCCAGCCTGCCCGAAGTTACAAAGCTAGAAGACTTAAAGCAGGAATTTGGGGCAAGAAACTGGCTGTATTTTATCCTGTTGTGCTACAAGTCATATTAAGGTAGAAATGAAGATCATTTCATAACACATACATAAGCCACAGGCTTTATCATCTATGGCATTAAAATAAGTGTTTTCTTATAAAAGCTAGAGTAAACTGTGTCTGGTGACAGTTAAGGGCTGCTTTTTTTTCCTCCAGTTTTTTATTTGTTTGAGAAGTAAAGAGTTGCAGCTTCCACTCACTGGGTCACTCCAGAGATGCCTGCAACATCTGGGAGTGTGTCATGCAAAGCCAGGAGCTGGGAATTCAATGCAGGTCTCCCACAAAGGTGCCATGTGGGCAGCAGGGAGTCAACTACTGGAGCCACTGCCTGCGGCCTCCCAGAGTGCGTACTAGCAGGAATCTGGATCCAGGAGCAGAGAGAGGACTTGTACCAGCACCCTAATCTGGAATGTGCCATCTAACCTACTGTGCCAAATGGTCACCCCAAGAGCTGCCTTTAGTGTTATTCCCATATGTGTAGGACTGTCCTGATGGCTGTGCTGGGAGGCTGGTCATTGCCCTTCTTTTAGATGCAAGTACCTCAGGGAACCATAATGCATTAGCCTGCATCAATCCACATAACGTTCTGAATGCATTTTCCTCCTCGTTTCAAATGGGAGCAATTCTGGAGGGAGTATGACTCACAAAAGTGAGGTGTGGACAGAGGGGAGGCTGGTAAGATAACTGCCCAGGCAGCCTGCGAAGGTGGGTGTCTGGGTACCTAGGGGCTGGGGCAAGAGGCATGAGAGTGGAGGGGTCAGCTCCTTTAGATGGTGCGCAGGTCCGGCCAGACCAGGGTCGCCATTGCATTCGCACCTCAGCCCTGAGAAGAGGAAAGTGGAGGAAAAAAGGTGGGGGAAGAAGTGGGCAGAGACAGGGCAGGGAGGCCCAGGAGATCAAAGGCAGGGAAAGAGTATCTTGGGGAGGGAAGAAAAGACAGCGCACCAAGGGCAAGAGGAAGTGGGCTAGGAGGAGGGCATGGAGCCAAACGAACATGTTAAGTTGAAAGTCACATATGGCATTTTCAGAGAATACTGAGTCCTGTGGGATAGGACTGGAGATGGGGGGGGGGTGCAGACAAGGATGGGGAAGACAGAACAGCTGCCGGGGCCCCGGCCATCTAGGCCGCCATCGCCCTGCCCTCCCTGCACCCTGGGATGCCTTCCACAGGATGTCCATTACCTCGTCCTCAAGGAGACCTCTGGGTTTGGGTGGGACTTCAGGTTTCCGCAGAGCAGTCAGGGCCGGCAGGGTGGAGGCGAGCCTTGCTTTCGCTGAAGGCCAGTTGGGCTTACTGGGAAGCGTCTTGCTGATAGGTGGGGACTGCCTCTGGCTTAGCCGGTTGTCTTGAAAACAACAAAGGAGAAAACACGACTTGAAAGACGCGCTGGGCAGGGCGGACGCTGGGTCTAGTGGTTGGGCCCCCATTGGGTCGTCCACATGCTAAGCTGGAGAGCCCGAGTTCCAGCCCCGGCTCTGCTCCTGACTTCAGCTTCCTGCTACTGTAGACCCTGAGAGGCAGAGGTAATTGGGCTCTAGACATTGGGTTCCTGCACCCCACATGGGAGACTTGCATTGCGTTCCTGGCTCCTAACTTCAGCCTGGCCCCACCCCAGCATTTGCGGCCATTTGGGGAGTGAGCCCATGGATGAGAGCTCTCTGTCTCTCTGCCTCATAAACAAACAACCAATTAAAAACTCTGGATCATTTCTTGGGTGGAAGCCATCGAAATCCCCAAAGTATAAAACCACTGGCAGTTATGTAACCACAAATGATCAATCCGGACATTCCTTAAACAAATGAAGTAAAATGTTTAACAACTTCTGTAGAGGAAATACAGCCGCAACTAGAGACAAAGAAAGAGAAGCAGACCCCTCCTCCCAACACAGACCTTGAAAAGTGGCTGCTTGCAATTCACTAGTGAAGCAGCTGCCCACTGTGATCTTGTCTAGGGAGGGAAGACGTCCTAAGTTCTGCTTCTGTAAACTCCAGTCATACATCTGCCCTAATAAATCTGCCCCTCGTATCTCTTTTACAAACATACCAGGCCCACCGACCATTGGCAGTGTGGCCCTAAGTCACGCAGGCTGCAATTTAAACCCACCAATGCTGTAACAGCTAAGGTAGGATGCTGATGAACCTATAAATATTGTAAGTAACTTGGAACTGTCGCTCAGTTCTTGGAAAATGATTCCAGCTGAGCCTGCTGGCGTAAATAAACTACTTCAATTCTTTACTGTCTCTGGTGCCTGTTTGAACAAAGGGAGTCTTCCCACCTCGGATTTCTATAACACTTTCATGATAACGCCAGAGAACATGTTCCCCAAAAACTTCCTGGGGAGTGATGTCAGTCAAGATGACAGCCCACCACCAGCACCCAGCGGACGGATGCAGGGTGCAGGTCAAGGGCGCTCCAGGATGGCTCACCTTGCTCTGTGAACCCCAGGGGGCAGTGATGCTCAATCCTGTTTATGTGTTAGAACCCATCCCACAACTGCTATGTTTGAACTTCCAGGGAGGGACCTGGCATCACAGGCTAAAAGGCCCCCAGGTTATCTTAAGGTGTATCCAGGGTGCCGGTTACTCATCTGGGTCCATCCACCTGTCCCTCAATGATTTCCTCTCAACCATGGAATCCATGAGACTCCCCTGGGCCCAGGACCATCCTCCTTGGTGGGTATCAGGTTCAGGTCTGCCTTCTGTCCCCTGCTTGACACTCAAGCCATGTTCTTCTGGGCCAGTGATCCAGCCTCCCCGGGACTCACAGTCCTCGCTTTAACCTGAGGGCAGAAATACCCACTTGATAGCATTATTGTGGGGACTAGAACATGGCAGTGAAGGAAGTAGGCGCCGGTGTCTGCCTAACAGGACTAATGTCACCTACGTCATGCTCTGCGGGCTTAGACAGCATCCAGCGTACTCGCTGGTTCTGTGGGCTGAGCACACACAGGAAGATCTTTGCATGGGCACAGCCCGGTGGCCTTTGTATTGCATCACTGGCTTCCTGCTGCTTCCTCCTAAGGCAGCCCCACCCTCACCAGCTTCACGCAGCTGCCCTCAACTCTGCTCCCCTCCTGATGCTGCTCCTGGCCTTGCTCCTCCTTGTGGAGGGTGTGTGGTTAACATCAACCTTGCTGCCTCCTTGGAAGCCTTTATGGGGCAGGGGGCACGAAGGCTTCCACTTTGCCTCTTGGTTTTATTCGCAGCGCTTGGAGCTTATTTAGGTTTTTGAATGTACTATTTCAGCTCATCAGATGTAGCAGACCACAGAAAACGGCTTTGGAGATTGACCGGGCCCTTGGATGAGCCACGTAACTCTCTTGAACTGCAGGCCTGTGAAGTGGGCCTGACACTTCACTTCCTTCCCAGGGTTGCTGCAATGTCTGAACAAGGTCATTTACCAAATATGGTGGGCAGTGCATAGAGCAGAGGGCTGAGGACAGGCCCAGCTCTCCTCCCAGCTGTGCCACACTTAAGACCTTGGTCCGGTACACGTCCTCCTTAGTGAGGTGGGAGTGGATCCTTCTTTCGCAAGATTACCTGGAGGCCATGACTGTAATGCACTCAACTGGAAACTATGGGAAGTCTGGCATTGTCACCTGTCTTGATTGCTGCCGACCTCTGAGCGCTAGCACAGTTGAGGAGCACAGGAGGTGGAACAAAGCAACCAGACACCCCGTGCCCTGCAAGGAGGCTGCAAATGGCAGTGAGGCATTCCCAGGTGGGAACACCCCCTGCAGATGCCAGTGTCACAGTGACCCGAAGGCCCACACTTCCTTGTCACACCTGCTGACTGGAATGCAAGCTGCTTTTTGATGGACGTAAGAAGGCACACTTAGCCCTTGAGTCCAGGGCCAATCTCTGTCCACTTAACTTATGAAGTTAATTCGAGGCTTAGAACCTTCCCCTCACTCCCATCCCCCCAGCCCCTGGTAAGAACCCACAGTGCAGACTCGGCCTGGGGTGGGAGAAGAGAGGGAGGGGTGGTTTCAGCCGACCCTGGGATCCTTGAAGGACACTGTAGTTCTTTAAGGACTTCTTAAGAGAAATTCCAGAACCTTGTGTGCACGAAGCCTTAAGAGAAGTGAGGCCTAATCGCTGGGCAGGTTTCCCGCAGGACCACGGAGTGGGGAGGGCGAGGAGCAATCCCCAGGTATGCTCCATTCATCTACTTTTGCCTGTTTCCAACATCCCTGCTTTTAGGAGAGGGGAAAGGAAAAGATACACAGCTTGGGCGCGCCCAGCTCTGAGTGGGAGCCCAGATAACCTCTGTGCCCTCAGCCCACCCTGCCCCGCTCTGGGCGTGGCCTCACCTATGTAATCGCCCCTGGTGAAGGGCAGGGCTGGGTGAACCGTCCTGGCCTCCTGCTCGGCAGGGGGCGGCTCGTAGCTGTCGTCCCCATTTTCCTCGGCGGGCATCACGTACATCTCCGAGTCCGAGTGCTCATCCGGGTTCTCGTAGTCACTGTCCTGCAAATGCAGATACCGCACTCAGCAGCCCGGTCCATGCTGCAGACTCCGGGGGTCGGGGCTGTTCCCCAGGCCAGGAGAGGCACACTTTGCAGGGCCAGGTGGCTGGTTTGCTGCCTGCAAAGCCGAAGGCCTGGCCCACTGCACTAGGCTGGGCTGGGGAGTATGTGAGCTACTGAACACCAAGGGGGCAGGGGCTCTGCAGTGGACGATGAGAAAATCCATTTTTGAAAGACAGAGAAATGATCCAGTAAAGCAAAATAACCGGTAGGCTTTCTCCATCATGAATGTTGATGGTTGAGGTTGAGTGGGCGTGCTGGGAGGGGAGGGGCGCACAGGGATACACAGATACGTATTTGAGGGGATAAGATTGTGTGTTCCATTTTTTAAGCAGAGCTGGTAAGCTGCAGAGAAAAGGCTTCATGGACTCAGAGTCCCTTCTCTTTTTGATTTTTTTTTTTTTTTTTACAGGCACAGTGGACAGTGAGAGAGAGACAGAAAGAAAGATCTTCCTTTTCCGTCGGTTCACCCTCTAATGGCCGCTGCGGCCGGCGCACCGCGCTGAGCCGAAGCCAGGAGCCAGGAGCTTCTCCTGGTCTCCCATGGGGTGCAGGGCCCAAGCACTTGGGCCATCCTTCACTGCCTTCCCGGGGCACAGCAGAGAGCTGGCCTGGAAGAGGAGCAACCGGGACAGAATCCGGCGCCCCGACCAGGACTAGAACCTGGTGTGCTGGCACTGCAGGCGGAGGATTAGCCTAGTGAGCCACGGTGCCAGCCTTGATTATTTTTAATACAGTTTTTTTAAAGACCGTATTAAAATACATCGGCATTGTCTAGAGTCCCAACAGCTAAGGTGCAGTCCACTTCCCAGCCTCTCTGGCCTCTGTCCCAAGGCAGGCGAAGTTACTGGTTTTGCGTGTGTCTTCCAGAAATGGCTGGTGTATATACTGTTGGTGCCACATTACTGTGGAGGAAATATTTGACCCAGGACCTAAGAGGGGGCCCCTCTTAGTCACGTGTGATCCACGTGACTTCCCAGTGGATGCACGAGACGCCTGCCCTTTGGCTGATCTTTCACTCGTGACTTAATTACAGGATTTCACCAGGCAGGCCCAGAGGCTTCTGTAACAGCTGGATTCACCCTGAGCGAGCAGGGATGGACCGAGAACAATGGTGAGTGAGTTCACTCGGTCCTTATCAGAGCTGCGGTCTGGGTCGTCTGGCAGGTCAGTCCCTCCTTTCCAGACTGACTTCACTGGGGTTTTCTCAGTCCCCACAGCGTGCTCTTTTTATCCACCAGCAGTTCTTTCTTTCCTCCAGCACCTTTCCTTGGCTGCAGTGGCCCGGTGTGTTCTGCCAGCAGGGGGCGCACGTGCAGCGCTTCTGCCCGGCAACGGCTGTGGGGCCCAGGGGAGGCCTCCAAGCCCAAGGGACCATCAGAGAGGAGACCTCCTACGCTCATTTTTCTTTTTCTTTTCTACAGTTGAGAAAAAGAGGAACTGCAGTCTCCTAAGACACTGTAAACTCCAGGTGGTGAACACAGCCAGGAACTGAACTGAGGCTCATTTCCGGGCCCTGAGTCCCAGGTTCTCACTGAGCTGGCCATTGCATTCACTTGGCCTCAGTGTCCTCATCTGTGAAATGGGCATGGGTCGCATCCTTGGATTCCTTCCAGATCTAAAACATGGAGTGAAGCAGGCTAACATTCGGAGCGAATTTTAGTAATCATTGTGAAGAAAAGTTTTTAGGATGTCTTGCCGCTACAAGGCTCATCCCAAGAGAGAAGTGGCTGCAGGGACCCTGCACAGTTCCTTCTGATACCCTCTGTCATTGTGTCCAGGTCATTGTGTCCAGGTCCATCTGGCTCCCTCTGGGGCCTCCAGGGCTATCCCAATGTTCTCCTAATGCTGAGAGCCTGGTTCGGAGATCTGAAGGCCTGGGTTTGGATTTTGGAGCTGCAAGTTGGCTAACTTTCCAGGCCTGGTTCCTGGAAGGCCCCTGATGTGCCAGGCGGTGTCTCTGGAAGGGCTCCAGGCAGGGGCCGGGCAGTGATGGGGAAGGTGAGGGCAGAGGTACTCACCACACATGCCCACATCTCCCTGGATCCCAGCACTAAGATTACCTCCCTCAGGGGGCATGGTGAGGACCGAGTGTCGTCATGCATGTGACGCTCTTAGCCTGGCACCCAGCAAGCGCTGGCCTAGTCAGCCACTGTGATTCGGGGCCTCTCAGTCCAGCCCTCTCTGTCTTGCCTGCGATGTGCCGTTGGCAACCGGCACATAACCCAGAACCAAGCTGTTAAAAAGGTCTCCCATGGGGGCCTGGGCCCCCTCCAGGCTCTACGAGCAAGTACTTACGAAGTCGTCCGACCACTGCTCCTCTTCGTCGGCAGGGCTCTCTGAAACAGCGGGTGGGGAACAGAAGGAACAGGCATGAGTGTCACGGGCCGCCTCCGGCTTGTCCAGACTCTCGCACCTGCTCGCCCTTCCTTTGGGCCTCCTGGTGCCATTTCCTTGGCCTTGAACAATGTTTACAGTTACGTGTTCATTCCCTTTTGACTCCCCTCTCCCTTTTTTTTCTAATGAATCCTCAAAGTGTGAGGCCCCGTGGGGTAAGTGGTAGGGCATCCGACCCATGTCCAGGGACATCTCTGGTGCTGGACAGTAGCCCAGCAGACGCTGCGTGTCACGTGACTTCTTCTATGTGGGTCTGCACATGGATCTATATGTAGCAGGAGGAGCACTGAACAGGGAGTCAGAGAGATCTGAATTCCATGTGAGCAAGGACCCCCCACCCCCCACCCCCAATCCGCGGGCCCTGTTTCCAGGTCTATAAAATGAGAGGAAACCTCCTGGGATTCTCTCTGGCTCCGTCTTTGATCTTCTTGGCGAGGAAATTCTTTTCTTTAGTGCTTTCCCACTTGCCAGGCAATCGGATCAGAGCTTCGCGCTCGTTTACTTCTCAAAAAGCCTTGGAGGAAGCAGGCCTACAGCAGATGAGTCACACGCCTGTGGCCGGGGAGTCAATGGCAGCGCCAGGCGTTGACCCGGCAGCTGGACTTCGGAGTGCACACTCCGAGCCCCAGCCCTGGGCTGCCTTGCTGAGCTCCGGGCGGGGGGGCCCTGTCCTGGGCCCTGAAGGGGATACCAAAAGTGGGTGTGATGAGCTTAATGAGTAAAACAGGCCTGCATTGGAGAGCCAGGGGAACAGCAGATCCCTTCTCCCTGTGGGCTCTTACAGAGCGGAAGCTCAGCATCTATCCATCTATCCCGTCATGCCACTGAGCTTCGAGCTTGAGAGGGATTCGCGGTGCTGGGCAGGGTCAACAGACACAGGCCCACCAGGCGCAGTGGCTGCCACAACTGTTCCATAGAGGGCCCCAGCTCCCCTCCCACCCCGCTGAGCCGCCACTGCCACAGAGGACCCAGTGGATGGCCCTGAGACCCCTAGAAGCTCAACAGGATCCTTCTTCTCTTCTGCAGATCACAGCCCCCGCCCCCTGCCCCCCGGCTCTAGGGGGATGCCACGAGACACAGTGAGGGAGCCGTGGGGGTGAAATGGGGTCCGGAGGGGTAGGGCTTAGGGTCAGAGCGGCCCCATTTCAGATGGCGGTAGCAGTGACTCTGTCCTGGGGGAGCATGACAGACGCCGAGCAGGAAGCTCACTCTTCAGGCCGAGTGTGGGTCATGCTTCGGTACAAACAGAAAAGAGTTCTTCGTAAGTTATTCTTTGGGTTGACTGATACCAAATGGCCGCGTGGCGCGATCACTGGGGTGTGCCAAGGAAAGAACAGGCACAGAGACCTCCTTCCCAGTGTGTTCCCCGGCACGGCGGGGAGTGAGTTTCCAGTACCTTAAATTTGGGGGTAATTCCAGCCCGTCCCTCCGGATGGCAGATGTTTCTATGTCAGCCACTCAAACAGAAACCTGTGAAGCCTTCACAAAACCCTTGCCTGCCCTGCTAACCTCATCTGCTGAACCTTGTCTCAGTGAGTCAGGGTCCGCTTCCTGACCAGTTCCTGGGGAAGCCACCTGCAGTAGCCCTCTAACTAACTTCCTCTCAGTGCATCCATCCTGCTGTTTCTAGTGGTCGCCTTAAAATAGAGCATTGCCTCAGGCTGTTCCTTTCTCAAGAACCATCAATGGCTCCCTATGGAATCAAACTGAGCTTCTGTGCCCACGCCTTCAGATGCCTCCCCTGCCCTCGTCCTGTCCCGTCGCAGTCTTCCGCGCCACGCGCAGTGACAGCGGGCCCCTGCTCCCTGCATCATGCACTTTTGAAGTCATGCCGGGTCCCAGCCCATTCTCTTCCCCCATGGATATCCCTGTCCTTCCTCCTCCTCCGTGCCATCTTCCCCAGTCCCTCCTGTCATCATCCATCACCCTGTCCTCTGGGCCCTCAGCTGTGGCTGGCACCTTGATGTCGCGTGCACTTGGTTCTGCCCTAGGCTATGATTAAGTTGTTTATGTCTCTCTGTCCCATAAAGGAGGCCCATTTGATTATCTGTGCGGTAATAAAAGTATGAACTAATAAATGAGTGAAAGTTAGTATAATAATGGATTCCATTTATTGAATACCTCCCATATGCTGGGTGCTAGCCTGCTTTATAAATGTTATTTATTTATCCTTACAATGGTTCCATGTGATGGGGGCAATCATTACCTCTGTTTTACAGGTAAAGAAACCAGGCCTAAGAGAGCTTGCAAAACCTGGTGAGTGTGGGGGCTGGGCTGGAGGCCGGGCTGTCTGTGTTGGCTCCTGCAGCTGAAATCTCGCGTGGCCCTCCCCTGAGCATTCAGGTAAAACCCAGGACAGCAGCTTGGCACACAGAGGCAGAGAGACGGAGAATTATCTTGGACAGATGTTATTTTCCCAACCCCAGCACCACTCATCTTCTGGTCCAAGGGCCACTCTAAACGTCATGCCCCTAAAGTCACAAGGTTGTGGGTAATTGTCCAGACTGGAAAGTGTAACCATCCAAAGTGTTAGACACAAAAGACGGGCTGGCTTTCCAGTTTCTCAAGGAATCTCCCAAAGAGTGAAGCTGGTGCTTTTAGAATCCACAGCCCTGGGTTCAAAATCCTACCTCTGATCTTTACTAGTTACTTGATGTTGGACCAGTATTAGCATTTAAAGTTCATTTCCCTCACCTGTGAAACAAGATTAAGACGCGTGCCCACCTCGTGTTTTTGTGAGAATCAACTGACATGATATGCGCACCCGTGGAGGGCTCAGCCAGGCCTGGCACAGGTTACGTGCTTGGTTAAGGTTACTGAGCCAGCGGCAATCGCACAGCAGGGCTACCACAGAGAAACAGATCCAAGGAAGTCTCTAGAGCTCTGGGTAAAACTTCAAGTTAATGTGGTTCCAGGTGGTTTCATTTTGTGTGGCCTCTTCTGGCAAACAGCTCCCGGTGAGACCTCCCTGTCAGCTGAGACCTTTCTATTGTGTTGCTGGCCTGCAGCATCTCAGGGTTTGCAGGGAACAAAGATGAATGGGTACCTGCACAGTGCTGAGCGGAGCAAGGGCCCAGAAGTGCAGGCTGGTACCACTCATCCGGGAACAGCCCACAGGGAGGTGTTCTTATCTCCTGACCAAGAACTGGAGGATCAGGAATCCCCTCCGGGAAGTTACAAAACTGCTCTAAGTTTACACAGCGTTTAGGGGACAAAGCCAGGAATCCGCCCCAGTCTAACAGACTCCAAAGTCCAAGGTCTGCTCTGGAAGCCTCGCTGAGCTGTGCACTGCTTAAGGGAACTGAACGACTCAGAGGCCAAAGGACATTGTTCACAACTGGACTCAAGACCACCCAGGGCCGGGAACATCTCCTGAGAAAGGTCCCTCCCTGTACCTGGGGTCATTGCCAGGTGCTGGGAAAGTGTGCTCCATGGGAGCTGAGGGGTTGCTTCAGGCTGCGCCTCGTGTGTAGGTGGCACTCCACTGGGGCCTGGACGCATGAACAGAATTGGAAGGAGGGCATCTTCCTCCGTCAGCTCAGATGAGGCTTGTGTGTCGGTCCCAGAAGCAGAGCTTAACCGACAGACCGGAGGCAGGTGCGCAGAGACTGAACGCATTGTGCTGAGAGGTCACGAGACTCCACCGGGGAACAGGGAACAAAACAGCTACAGGTGCGGCGGGCCAGGGGCTGCCCGGAACATCTGGGAGGCTTGGGAAAGGGAAGGGCTGGCTGGAGGGATGGGGCGGGGCTCTGTGCTGCCGGCCTGGAGGGTGAAGGGGATATATGTGTGTGTGTGTGTGTGTGTGTGTGTGTGTGTGTGTGTGAGAGAGAGAGAGAGAGAGAGAGAGAGAGAGAGAGAGAGAGAGTCCGGCCTCTTGCTTCTGGGTCACCAGCAGCGACAGAGACCTCAGAGCAGACGCTGGGGGCGCCTTGGCGTGTCTGACACGCAGCCTCGGCCGTGGCCCCAATCCTGTTCTAGGGCCTTGGCCCGGTCAGTTTCTCCCCACACGGAGCTGGTGGTGGCACGCAGGGAACCAGCAGGAAGACCGCAGCGGGCCCCAGAGGGGAGGGAAGCAGGAAGGTGGGCCAGCTGCGGTGGTGGGGACAGAGGCAGGGAAGGAACAGAAAGCAGAACCACAGGGGCTGTGGGGGAGTCAGTGGGGGAGAAGAGGGTGCAGTCTAGTTGGCGGGGTGTAGCTGGGGACAAGGCTCGGTCCTGGCTGCCTGGGAGAGGTGCTTGGAGTCTAATCACTAAACATCAAAAGTCTGCTTATCTGCCCCTTCCCAGGTTCACTGGCAGAGATCTGGGTCAGCTGGCACCTTGCCGTGGGCTCACAGGCAATCACTCTGCCTCTGGGGTCTTCTAAGAAGCTCGAATTGGGTCATCTCTCAGGACTTCCCAAGCTTTAAAATACCCTGAGTCCAAGTTTCCTTCCTCTGTTCTTAGCTGCACTGGTGGACGCCGGGACAGCATGAAAGAGGGAGACAGAAGGTCACTTAAATGCTGGCTCCACAGAGGACACTGGGCCAGGGGCAAACATCTGTGCACGTGCTAGCCTTGCCTGAGAGAGTCTTTCCCATGGGAGTGAGTTTGCCTCCTCCAGCCTCACCGTAGAATTGCTTTGCTCTCTGGACTGGCATGGTGCAGCGGGTTAAACTGCTAATGTGCCTGGGAAGGTGGTGGGAGATGACCTGAGTGCTTGGGCCTCTGACACCCATGTAGGAGACCCGGATGGAGTTTCAGGCTCCTGGCCCAGTCCTGGCTGTTGCAGCCATTTGTGGAGTGAACCAGCAGATGGAAGAGCTCTGTCAGTCTTTCAAGTAAATACATAAATGAATCTTTCAAACAGCAATCAAAACCAGAATCACGTTGCTCTTCTCCCTGCCTGACCTCAGTGGCCAGAGGAGGAAGAGTGGAAGCTGAACCTCCCGGGAGGCTACACGGCCCCCAGATCTCAGGGCCCAAACTTGCCAGAAGAGAGACCCTGCTCAGTCGGGCCTTTTGGGGGTTTATGGAGGGAGCAGAGGGCGGCTGTGATGACCTGCAGGCTCTGGGGTCACAACTCATCCACCCTCCCCTCCATCCCGGACTAGATACCAGAACTTTAACTATGCAGGAGACTGACTGACAGCCCAGGCACTGGAAGCAGGTTCTGGGGTTCTAGAGCCTTCTGAGTCAGAGGTGTCGCAAAATTGTCAGGAGTGGGGACCCGAGGCGGGCTCTCCTCAGTGTCCCTGGGATGCAGTTTCCTTGTTTGTGAACAGACTGTTAATTCCATGTAATAGCGCTCATGGCATGATGAGATGAGATAGTCCGGAGCAGAGTGAGGACCCAGGAGCGGCGGACATCTCCCCTCCCGCGGCATGCCGGCTGCTTGGGGATAGCTGGCTCCGCTCAGCCAGCCCTGAGGTCCCTGTTGGCTGTGTTGCCTCCTCGGGGATGAGGGCAGGCAGGACTGCTGGGTCTGACTGAGGCCAGCAGGCCCCCACCCCGGCCCCCTGTGCATCCCTGCAGGGACCCAGGCCTATGCTCTGTCTGTCCTTCCACGTGCTAACAGCAGAGGGACCAGGGCCACTGTTCTGCCAGCCTTGGGGTTGGGGAAGCACTGGCCCTTGCCAGCCTTTGCTCTCTGAAGGTCTGTGCTCTCCAGGCTCAGAGGATTTCTTCCAGGAGTGAAGTGCTGGGGGAGTCAGGTGGGGCTGTGGCAAGAGGCCTGGGCCTCCCGAGAGCACTCAGCTCGCCTCTGAGGCCCTCGAAGATGCCCTGGGGTCAGGAGTTGCTGCTGGGGCCCTGGGCATGCAGCTGCACAGGCCCACAGGGCTCAGGGGAAGCAGCTGGTGAGTTGGGGAGGGGCAGGAGCAGCAGGGGAGGTTGCTAAGCGCAGGTGGTGCCAGTGGCAGTTGTGCCCACCTTTCCCAGGATTCAGTATTGGGTGGGGGGGTGAGTGGGGGTGCAGGTCAGCAAGGCTCTCTTGGCAAAGCAGTGCTGGCATTTCAGTGGATTTGTTGGTGTAGAGGCAGGGAGAACCACTTGTCTTTCAATTCAGGAGAAAGAGTACTGAGAGAAATGGTGGTTTATAGCAAGATTTCCCCTGCTTAAGATATATTCAAATCCCCCGGAACTCTTATTAAAATGCAAATTCTGGTCCAGGGGTCCTAGGGTAAGGGCTGAAATCCTGCAGGCCTATCAGGCTTTTTGGAGATGCTGATGCCCCCAGGCTGGGGCTCACACCCAGGGTCGCAAAGGCCTGGGAGACTTTAACTCTTCCAAGCTGGGCCCCATTTCTGTATTCTGAGGGGGATGAGGTACAAAGGCATCGGCCCCAAGACTGTTTGGAGGGTTTCAGGGAAGAGCAGGTATCTGAGCCCGGAAAGCAAACATGGCTGAGCACCAGGGAGCCTGGCAGATAAAAATTCCAAAAAACCAGGGGATGCTCAGACACACACTTCATCTCAGGGCCCTGGACTCCAAGGATCTGGTTGAGCATTGGCATGGGAGGGGGCCTGACAGATCATGACATAGATAAGGAGGGTGCAGCACCCTAGGGTGCACAACCAGTTAGCAGCTGGACATCGAAGCGCCTTGAATGCAGACTAAGGGGTTTGCAATTCCTCTTGTCAGTGATGTTGAATGGCGAAAAGATTTAGAGGAAAGTGTGACATGAGGAGAATTTCATTTTATAACAGTTTTCAGGTGGAGGTTGAGAGGACCACAAGGAGTTAGGAATCGAGGAGACGACTTAGATTCAGTCTTCTGTGCCAGGACAAGCAAGCAATGGTGAGGTGGGGGTGGGGAGAGTCTTGGCTGCAGCAATAGGAGTAGAAGAGGGAATAGAAACATTTGGAAGACACTTAAGAGACAGAACCTCAGGACTTATGTATGAAATCTTTTTTTGTAGAGGGTGAGGCAAGAGGAGGAACCAAGGAGGATCCCTCAACGTGTGGGTCAGGCAAAGGCACCAAGAACTGATGGCTGCTATCTGCCGCTCACCCAAGGAGAAATTCAAGGAAAAGGAGGGCCGCTGGGTGAGGGGATGGACAAGCAGACTCCTGAGGAGGAAGGGACAACCAGGGGAGATGTCCGTCCCGGACTGCAACACACGGCTCCACTCAGGCTTCCAAGAACCGACTGAGTTCCCAGCATTTACCATCAGCACTCCAGCACTCCTGATGCCGTCGGAGACGCCATAAAATGACAAGTGTTCCTGCACATTCATCTCCTAGGACCGTAATGAAAAATCCCCTCCTAGAGACCTTCGCTGACCACCCAAGTTGTCCTCCACCCAGCACTGACTCCAAGCAGGGCACTCTGCCACTGTCCTGACAGCAGCGACCCTGCGTGGTGCAACACATGCCCCTGTCTGCAGTCTTGTTTGCGACCTGACCCCTCCCCCATCGTGAGATGCCTCAAGGCCAGTGACCACACTGTGCTCCCCACTCTGTAGGCAGCACCGTGAGGAGCTCATGGGACAAGCTCCTGAAATGCTAGCTGATGGATCAAAGACCCTGTGGAGGAGCTGAAGCACCAGGAGACGTTTATTCTAGACCAGGAACCACGCAAATGGCAGCTCTGATTCTACTTTCCTTAAGATTTAAAGACGTGGGGCCGGCGCTGTGGCATAGCCCGTAAAGACTCCACCTGCAGTGCCGGCATCCCATATGGGCGCAGGTTGGAGTCCCAGCTGCTCCACTTCCGATCCAGCTCTCTGCTGTGGCCTGGGGAAGCAGTGGAGGATGGCCCAAGTGCTTGGGCCCCTGCACCAGCATGGGAGATCTGGAAGAAGTTCCTGGCTCCTGGCTTTAGACAGGCCCAACTCCGAATATTGTGGCCATTTGGGGAGTGAACCATAAGATTTCTCTTTCTCTGCCTCTGCCTCTCTGTAACTCTGCCTTCCAATAAATTATTAAATATTTTTTTAGAAAAAAGATTTAAAGACTTGTAGTTTGTGAATCGAGATGGTAAACCCAGAAAGCCACAAGGAAATGGATGGCATCTGTATCCAGCCAGGGCTGCTTGTCCCTCACTGGACCAGGCAGACTTGGGGGGCCAGCCCAGGGGGTACCCAAGCAAAAACTGGACCTCTTTTCCAGGGTTACATGGTGGGGGGTAGGGTTTAAGTCTTAGATGGGAGTCTGGACTGTATAACCTCAGAAAACCCTTTCATTCTTTACTTATTTGAAAGGGAGAGAGAGAGAGGAGGGGGAGGAGAGAAGAGGAGAGGAGAGGAGAGGAGGGGGAGAGAGGAGAAGTGAGGAGAGGGAGAGGAGAGGAGAGGGAGAGGAGAGGGAGAGGAGAGGGAGAGGAGAGGGAGAGGAGAGGGAGAGGAGAGGGAGAGGAGGGGAGGGGAGGGGAGGGGAGAGGAGAGAGAGGAGAGGAGAGGGAGAGGAGAGGAGAGGAGAGGAGAGGTCTGTCTGCTAGTTCATTCCTCAGATGGCCATAGCAGCCAGAGCTGGGCCAGGCTGATGCCAGGAACCTGGACTCCATCCAGGTCTCCTGTATGCATGGCAGGGGCCACCCTCCACTGCCTGGGAATCAGAAGGAAGCTAGATAGGAAGAGGAGCATCTAGGGCTCAAACCTACACTTCAACATGGGATGCCAGTGTCCTAAGTGGCAGCTTAACTTACTGTGCCACAATGCTGGCCCCTGGGGATCCTTTTAAACCCAAGACTCCATGATGCCATAATTTTCCCATTAAAGTCATTTAGCTGCTTAGCAGGTTAGTCGGCTTTCTCTCTCTCCCTCTCTCTAGAATCTGGAGGTAAACATGCATCTGTTTTCATTTAACTAAGCAGCTTCTTTGATTTATTGATTAGGTAGATTTTAAAGCCCAGGGTGGGGTTCCTCTTTTTTAGTTCCAAACTGCTCAGGCATCCTCTGATCACTGTTTAGACTTGTTGTAGGGTGAGGTCAAGGTCAATAAATGCTTCTTGACCTAGTGTGTTATAGAAAGTGATCCAACAGATCAGTGAGCAGACTTCGGTATGATGGTTAGCATTTCTCAGTGTGACAGGATCCATCCGTGCCCAGGAGGGACTCAACCACTGTACTGCTATCTTGAACAGTAACCATCACTGAAGGTTATGATTTGATTTTAGTTGTCACCCTGTAGACCAAGAATCATCAGCATCTGTAGCCCTGTGGCTACACTGTGGCTTTCACTGAGGGCTGTGTAGATCTGTCTGTATTACACTTAATGCTGCCAAAATTGACTGAAGACCTATCCTCCCATATCTGTTCTACAAAAGGAAACTGTCGTGTATTTTACTTTGTCATCACTGCCCCAAACACTCCCAATCTCAAGACTGATCCCTCTCCCTCTCCAATACTGATCGTAATTGGAATAGGGTTGTGGGCTAACCTTGCAGAGGACTGAGTAATCGCGTCCCATCAAGAGTTTCTTTCCCTAGCCCCTTCCATTAAAATAGCTTCTTATGGAGGAGGCTCTCCCTTCTCTCTCTCCCCCACAACCGTCCCCTCTGGTTAGATAAGGTCCTGCTGGTACACACTTGCCTGGAACTCCACGCTGCCCCATCACACTGAGTGGTGATTGCTTATCCTCCTTATCTACTTTAGCCTCCATGGGTGGATGTGGATGAAACTTTATCAGACTTTCTTAGCACTGTATTTCTACTTAATACCTTCTATTTGCCTAGTACAGGGAAGACGTCTCATAAACATTTGATAAACAGGCGGGTAGACTGATGTATGAATGGTTAAAGTACTACATCTCTCCTGTATCAAATGCCTGATAGATTCGGTCATTTCTGAAATCAGGGTAGGTGCTTTGTTTCCAGATAAGTAGAACTTCCTTCCCTTTCCATGAATGTGGGCGTGCATGAGCATATGAACACTCACTTAGTCAAGTGTCTTAGAAACGGTCTTACCTGAAGCGTAGTCCCTCCGAGGAACGCTTGGAGGTGCTTTGACTTTCAGCCTGTGGACAACAACCATCAGACCAAGGGTGAGTGGGTAGGGCAGCTGTTGTCAAGGACCATAGTATAAGCCAATATGGGGATAGAAACATACAACTAACAGTGGCTTGCTTCAGGCCCATCACGCTGAAAGACTGAATATACTGTAAAGGCAGCGAAGCCACAGATGTCTCCCATCTCTCCCCATCTCCCCAGTGCACTAGGTTGGCTACGACTGACGAAGGTGAAGCTGGGTAGTAAAGAGGTCTGCATATCAGTTCAGAGGTTCAAGAAAGACAAGCACTGTTGGCTTGGGAGGGAAGAAGATGAATTACACTTCAATGGCTTACAAACACTTTAATTAACAGGACAAAAAGTAGGTACCATAAGCACTTTAGTTGTAAGTTGGGTGGAAATTATTTTTGTACCATCTTTAAAAATGCCAAATAAGTGAGCAGTGAGTGTCTCAAGATTGGAGATTGTGATATTTAGCTTATTTAGACGTTGAACTCTTTCCAACACTCTCAAAATTACTTCGGTATCTTTATTCACATATAAAATGTGCTTGGTAGTCACAATCCTTCTCTGTTCATTTAAAGTGGAAATTTAAAATTACATTTTAAAAAAAGTACCCCAATTTTAGGCTTTTTATACATTCCGACAACATCTCCCTTTCCATTATTTGAATGAGAAAAGTATATAGTAAATTATTTATACTCTTGTAGTAAATTATTTTTAATAATAATTACCCATTTTAGAATTATTTGTGGAGCTGGTGCTGTGGCATAGCCAGTAAAGCCACCACCTTCAACTCCAGCATCCCATATGGGTACCAGTTTGTGTCCTGGATGCTCCACTTTTTTTTTTTTCTTAACATTTATTTATTTATTTGAAAGGCAGAGTTACAGAGAGGCAAAGAGAGAGAGAGAGGTCTTCCATCCGCTGGTTCACTCCCCAAGTGGAAGCTGCACTAATCCAAAGCCAGGAGCCAGGAGGTTCTTCCAGGTCTCCCATGCAGGGGCCCAAGGACTTGGGCCATCCTCCACTGCTTTCCCAGGCCACAGCCAAGAGCTGGATCGGAAGTGGAGCAGCTGGGACTCTGACCGGCGTCCATATGGGATGCTGGCACTGCAGGCGGCGGCTTTACTTGCTACACCACAGCACCAGCCCTGAAGCTCCACTTTCAGTCCAGCTCCCTGCTGGTGGCCTCGGAAAAGCAGAAGATGGCCCAAATGCCTGGGATCCTGCAACCCACATGGGAGACCTGTAAGAAGCTCTTGGTTTCCACCTTGCCCAGCCATGGCCATTGCGGCCATCTGGGGAGTGAACCAGCGGATGGAAGATTTCTGTCTCTCCCTCTCTCTCTGTAACTCTTTTAAATAAATGGATCATTTTTTTCAATATTTTCTTACTGAAATTTAAAATATATATTTCATTTAAAACATATCCAGCATTTTATTTATAAAAATATTTTTATTATATTCTATTTATAAAAATATACTTATATAGAAGTGGTATATAGGGTGATTATTATATATAAAACTCATTTATTTCTTGAAAAAAATACAGAAATTCGTGATTCATTAAATGCATGCATGTGCATGCACACATACAAACTTTGCAAACCTTAAACCAGAATTGTAATTTTGCAAAAATAACAATATCTATATTTACGTAGAAATTCCGTTTTCCACCCCCATAAATTCTCCTATCAGTTCACAACTTTGATTACAAGTCAGCAGAGTGTGCTAGGACAATGTTATCACTGGACTGACAATGATGGCCTCAGACCATGAGACTTTTTTTACTTTCCAAAATGTTGTATGGAAGAAAAGCAATACCAGAATGGCCTGGTGCCCTGGTTGGTTCATGGAGCAGTGAAGTTTCAAAAACCACAAACCAAGTGATAGCCAATTTTATCATCACTTCATAAAAGAAGGAACGCTGACTTTGACACCCCCACGTGTACGGTTCTCATCTCAGAATAAAGGCCAGAACTCAAGAAAGGACTGAACACAGGCCAGGAATAAAGTTCGTTGTGGGCGGTCATATACCAACCCCTAACACTTTTTTTTTTTGTAAGCAAAACAAGATTTATTTAAGTCAGAAACCTGCCGCAGCATCAGGAAGAGGGCTCCAAGGAAGGCAGCACGCCCGGGAAACCTGTCAGAGTGGGGTCTTTCACGCACAATTCGGGATCAGCCCCTCACATTTGTAGGCCGTTCTTTCCTCACGCGGCCATGGACCAGTGTGAAGTCTGTCACTGGTCACTGGCGCTGGGGAATCTGTGTTTGATGGTGCTTCCTCCTTCCGAGGGTGCACTGCTGCCTGACCCCGAGGGAGAGTTTAACCACAGGGCACTCTGAACCTAAGGGTCCGCGACCTCACCAGTGTGTGGGTGTGGTGGCCATCGTTTCTGGGCTAAGAAGAAATGTAGTTTGTCAAGTAGATGTCTTTGGGTAAGTAGAAGTCTTTGGGTCAATAGGCGAGGTGTTGCAAAAAGCAGCTGTCATAAGACATTGAACGGCATGGCTGCTGTAAGTGCGCCTGTCCGTGGGCTGCAGTTTGGGAGCACGCAGGCCGATCTGGGCATCAGCTTTCCCTGAGTGCCAACTGAAAACACTACTTTAAGGCAACCATTGGAAAAAGTAGAATCAAAAAAGGGAAAACACACATGGCACCCTAAAGCTAGGGTGTGTCTTGTAACCTCATTTGGATTGCTCTAAGCCTGCCGCGGTGGCCCTTAGCTAAAAGGCTAGAGCTGATTTTCCTGCCTTGCCATTTGTGAGGCAAGTTGACTGGGCATAGCTCACCTTTCCTGCAGGGAGAAGGAAGAGCAAATTCCCTGAATACCACCACCCTCACTTGCCATGCTTCCAGAAAGTGGGCCTCAACACCGTGTAGTCCAGCCCTGGTAAAACGGGGTTACCTGCCAAACAGGTTGCAGCTCCTCACTTGGGTAAGAGAATGTAGTGTTCTTCCACTAGCACAGGCTGGCTTATTTTGTATAAGTATGTATGTAAATGCAGCCTAACTTACTTTTTAATTTTGTTCATTATTCCACCTTCATTGTTCTTAATGTCATGGACCATCTTCTGAAGCTGCCTGTAAGAAACAAAAATAAACATGCAATATTAATAACTAGGTTGAGTTTTTTAAGGAATCATCTTATTATTTGAGAGGCAGAGTTAAGAGAGTTGAGGAGAAGGGGAAAGGGGTGGGGGTGGGGGGAGAGCATGAGCTCTCATCTGCTGGTTTACGCCCCCAGATGGCCACAGCTGTGGGCCAGCAGC